TTACTTTAATTCCAAGTTTTCACTCAATATGTTACATTACAATTTTATTTATTTCTCCTTCAGGTATGTTCACTTAGGGAAGAAGAAAGGAAGAAGAAGAAGAAGAGGAGGAGGGGGAGAGAGAGAGAGAGAGAGAGAGACCGACCTGACCTATCAGGCTTGCTCTGTCATTGCCATGAATGAAGTAACATAAGGCCCTGGCCAGATGCCAGCACCATGCTCCTGAACTTCCCAGCCTCTAGATCTATGAGCCAAATAAATACCTTTTCTTTACAAATTACCAGTCTGTGGTATTTTGTTATAGCAACAGAAAAATGGCCTTCATCACACAGCAGCAATTCAGTGTTGGTTGAAGGAAGAAGAACTTATTAGAGAGATGCTCTGCCAGCTGGGGATGTAGCTCACTGGCAGAGGGTTTGCCCAGCAAGAGTTGTTTTGCAACATTTTTACCCCAAAGTCACTACTGGAATATACAAACAGCCACTATCACATCGTGGTGCGTGTGGTGTGCCTACGGAACAATTGAGTTCCTTGTGTGTTGGGGCAGGGGAGGCTCAGCTGTCCTAATGGGAGCATGTCACATGCTCTCTGTTGTTGATGTCATACCCCTACCCCTTTGAGTTGAAGGAAGCTGGCTAGCTGGAGAGGGCTGAAAAGTGTTAGAAGGAAACTTAGGAATGAAAAGCCCCCCATGGGAAAAGGTGTCAGGTCAGTGTGTGCTAGAGCTGCACATTGTGTAAGACTGGTGAGTGTTAAGGTACTTTACTAATATCAGGGGCAATCCAGTAAGGTTTTCAGCGGGACTAGAGACACTCTTCTTCCCCCTTGCAATAAGAGAACATGTATTCCCATCATCTGAAAATCTGTGTTAGACCCACTTTCAGGATGGATTGGACTCACACATATAGGATGCTCGATATCTTAGCTGGTATTTACTGAGCACCTACTGTGTGCCAGGTCTCACATTGAGCACTTTCCAGGCACCCCTCATGACCTGCCCTACAAAGTAGGCACTGTGATTTTCCACATCACTAAAGCTTAGGGTCTGGGTTTTGAGATGAGGGACCAGCAGAGCTAGGGCAGGAAAGTGGGGTGGGTGTCTGGCCTCTAGGTGGCAGCTGTGACAGGATCTATGAAATGAAGTCATTGTGCAGGGGAGCTGGAAGTGGGGGTGGGAGGGGCGGACAGGAGGGAGGAGGGCCCCATTGCCAGGCTGAGCTGCAGGGACAGCTGGGCAAGGCCTGACCAAAGCACACAGGAGCTGGCTGCAGGCACCTGGCAGAGAGTGGTTTAGCCTGGCAGTAGGTGAAACAGACAGGGGTGTGGCCCCGGAGACTGGTCATCAGGGCTGGACCTACCTGGGCCAGTGTCCACCATCTGGTGGGTGAACTCTGGTTGGGGGTGGAACCTGGGGAGGGTTAAAGGGTCTCTAGTCTGATCCTGGGGAGCTTGGTCTTGCTACCTTACCACAACTGTGAGCCCCCCAGGTTTGCTGCCAGGGGAGCATGAGTGATGAGGAGAGGGAGACAGAAGAGGATGAGGGAGGGGGTACCTTGGACACAGCACCCATGCTGCCTCAAAGGCCTCCTGACCGTCACACCTCAGCCCTGAGAAGCCCAGGGTGGTCTGGTCTGGCCATCCGAGGTCTCAAGACCCTGCTGCTGCCTGGGAGGGCCCTGGCCGTGCTCCTGCTCCACCTGCTGCTGCCTGGAACCGTTTTTCTGCTGTTACTGCTGCCCGCAGCTGGCACTGTCTACCTGGGATTCCTGTGCCACTCCAGGGTGAGCCTGGGCCCTCTGTGGGAGGGGTCCCTGGGAAGTGGGGGTCCTGCAGAGGCTCAAGGACCTGGAACTCTTGGCTCCTCCCTGGGAGCCCCTTTTTTGCCAAGTCCCTCACTGGCCGCAGTCAGAGAAGGCTTCTATTTGTTCCCAGGGGACAGTTCTCTCCCCACCTGAGGCCTCCCAGCTTGTCCCAGGGATATCAGAGCCTGAATAGCCGGGTAGAGGTGGGGAGGGGAGGCGGGTTCCAGGAAGAGAAGATGGAATCATTGTCCAATTTCACTAGTCCTCAGCCCCGTCTCACCCTTGGCCCCCGTCCTTCCCAGACCCCTCCTGGCCTGGGCTGGGCTTCTCCACCTGTGCAGTGGGCTATGACGTGGTCTGGGAATGGAGGGTGAACAGAGATGGACCCTGTTGTCCCTTTCTGTAGCCTATGATGGGGGAGGGAGAAGTGGTGCTGGCTGGTGACAACCGGGCAGGGGTTCAAGGTCTGCTGCCAACACAGGGAAGGGCCATGGGGGGAGGGGGCAGATGGGGACAGGAAAACGAAAGTGGGGGCGATTGTTTGAGTGTATCAAGGTTCCACCTAGGTCTCGAATTTCCCTTTCGGTCCTCAGCACCACCTGGCCCACAGCAGCTCGGTCCACCCC